ATATATATATGTTCATCCCTGGTGATATGCCCCATACTATACTATGTGGTGTTAGACTTGTTGTCATGATCCTGGAGCTTTGATCAAGAGTTTTTAGAGGGTTTCGTTTTAAGAAAATTATTATTTTTTATTTAATGTTTTTTTGGCTTAATTATTGTTTTAGTTAATTCATGTATTTTGATTCGATTTATATTGTGGTTAGAGCTTATTTAGTATAAGTGCTTATGTTATTTTATGTTATTTTTTATTATATGCAAGCTTTTCCTAGTATTTGACTTCCTGTTTTATTTTGAAAGTTGTCTTCTTTGACTAGCACTCCCCTCCTCCTTGCAAAGAGGAAACTTAGGTCTGGAAATTCATCACTGTGGTAGACCTTAGCTGGCAATTCTCTCGACCTCTCTGCATTTTTTTCTTCTGCTACTCTTTGGACGACCTCTGAAGAGGTCCTTCTTCTCTACTTTGACTACAGCAGGGTTTCTCCTCCAGTACTGGTTCCACATTCTGTCTCTGGAAAAGTCCCCCAGCACTGATCCACCTTATGGACTGTCATTGTCTTCTCTCTAGCCTCAGGCTACCTAGGCTATTTTCTTCTAAAATGTCACCTACAGTCCTTCACTATTTGTGGTTTTCTTTTGGTAATTTTCAGTGTAAGTTTTTTTTAATTTTTTTTTTATTATAACTTCTCTTTATTAGCTACAATTGTTATTGGTTATTTAAAAAAATTACTTAACAACACTTTTTCTGACCTGACAATTGTACAATTTGGATTCTTAAGCATCTTCACTCCAGAGTCCTCCAGGTTGTTGTTACTCAGATCCAGCTCTTTCAGAGTACAGGATTGGGAGCTGAGAACTGAGGACAGAGTTTCACAGCTTCTCTTTGAGAGGTTACAGCTACTCAGTCTGCGAAGACAATAATGGACAGAAAAATAAAATGTTAAAATATCTGGTCTGAACTCTTGAGGTCCAATATTTTCTTTATAAAATATCTATACATAGTGAATTATTGTTGTTCTTTTCTAAATAAAAACACAAAAAAAACTTATTTATTTTCACTGCAAAAAGGCACTATGTGAATCTAAACTGTGAAAAAACAATTCTATATGGAATAGCTTTAATTCATAAGTTCACAAATTCAGGCAAACAGATCATACATCAAACTACAAAGATCATAATCCAACCTGAGTGTTTCCATTTTACAGTCTGGACTTTCCAGTCCAGTCAATAGTAGCTTCACTCCAGAGTCTTTCAGGTCATTGTCACTTAGGTCTAGCTCTCTCAGACTAGAAGACTGCGAAGTCAGGACTGATGAGAGAACTTCACAGCTTTTCTCTGAGAGGTTACAGACATTTAGTCTGAAAAAAAAGAACAAGTACACAAGTAATACTGGTATTAAAACAAACAATTTGGGGTCACGACTAGATTTAGCAATATTTAATCTCATTTCAGGACTTGCTGGAATTTTAATGTAAATATTTTAAACAGATTCAGAGAAATATTTAATATAAATTAATGCATGTGGAAGATTTTTTATTTATTATTTATTTAACTTTATCTGACCTGAGAGTTTCCAGTGTACCGAGTGAACTCTCCAGTGCAGCAGATAGAAGCTTTATTCCAACATCAGTCAGGTTATTGTTACTCAGGTCCAATACTCTCAGACTAGAGGGCTGGGAACTGAGCATGGAGGACAGAGTCTCACAACTTCTTTCTGACAGACTACAGTCACTTAGTCTAGAATGACAAATAACCAAGTGGAAAGAGATTAATGTTTTTCTTGAAAGATATCAGTGTATGATAAATGATATATACAACTTTCAGTATACTTACAGAACTTTGTTGGAAGCCTTGACCACAGGCAGCAGCCTCAGAAGAGCTTCCTCTGAAGCAGAGTATTTCTTCAGGTCAAACACATCCAGATCTTTTTCTGATGACAGTAAGATAAAGACCAGAGCTGACCATTGAGCAGGAGACAGTTTATCTGTAGAGAGACTTCCTGAACTCAGAGACTGTTGAATCTCCTCCACTAGAGAATGGTCATTCAGTTCATTCAGACAGTGGAACAGGCTAATGCTTTTCTCTGCAGACAGAATGTCACTGAGCTTCGTCTTGATGTACTGAACTGTTTCCTGATTTGTCTGTGAGCAGCTTCCTGTCTGTGTCAGCAGACCACGTAGGAGACTCTGATTTGTCTGTAGAGAAAAACCCAGCAGGAAGCGAAGAAATAAGTCCAGGTGTCCGTTTGAACTCTGCAATGCCTTATCCACAGCACTCTGGTGGAGAAACTGTAGTTTAGGTTTATTAAATAATTTAGACCACTTGGAGATTGTATTTCGATCATCCAGCAGATTAACTCCAGAGTTAATAAATGTCAGGTGGACATGAAGAGCAGCCAGAAACTCCTGAACACTTAAATGGACAAAGCAGAACACATTGTCCTGGTACAGTCCTCTCTCCTCTTTAAAGATCTGTGTAAACACTCCTGAGTACACTGAGGCGGCTCTGATATCAATACCACATTCTGTCAGGTCTGATTCATAGAAGATCAGGTTTCCTTTCTGCAGCTGCTCAAAAGAAAGTCTTCCCAGAGACTCAACCATCTTCCTACTCTTTTTATTCCAGTGTGGATCTGTTTCAGTTCCTCCATCATACTTGACCTTCTTCACTTTGGCCTGAACCACCAGGAAGTGGATGTACATCTCAGTCAGGGTCTTGGGCAGCTCTCCTCCCTCTATGGTTTTCAGGACATCCTCCAGAACTGTAGCAGTGATCCAGCAGAAGACTGGGATGTGACACATGATGTGGAGGCTTCTTGATGTCTTTATGTGAGAGATGATCCTGCTGGCCTGCTCCTCATCTCTGAATCTCTTCCTAAAGTATTCCTCCTTCTGTGGGTCAGTGAACCCCCTCACCTCTGTCACCATGTCAACATACCTAGGAAGAATCTGATTGGCTGCTGCAGGTCGCGTGGTTATCCAGAGACGAGAGGAGGGAAGCAGGTTCCCTCTGATTAGATTCGTCAGTAACACATCCACAGAGGTGGACTCTGTAGGGTCAGTTAGGTTTTTAGTTTTGTGGAAGTCCAGAGAAGGTCGACACTCATCCAGACCATCAAAGATGAACATAACCTGGAAGTCTTCAAAGTTGCAGATTCCTGCTTCTTTAGTTTCAGTAAAGAAGTGATGAACGAGTTCCACCAAGCTCATCTTTTCATCTTTCAACACGTTCAGCTCCCTGAAACTGAATGGAAAAATGAACTGGATGTCCTGGTTGGTTTTGTCTTCAGCCCAGTCCAGAATAAACTTCTGTGTTAAGATTGTTTTCCCAATGCCAGCCACTCCCTTTGTCAACACTGTTCTGATTGGTTCATCTCTTCCAGGTGAGGCATTAAAGATGTCTTCTTGTCTGATTGTTGTTTCTGGTCTGTCTGATTTCCTGGATGCTGTTTCAATCTGCCTGACTTCATGTTCATCATTGAGCTCTGCAGTCCCTCCCTCTGTCATGTGGAGCTCTGTGTAGATCTGATTCAGAAGGGTTGGGTTTCCTGCTTTAGCGATCCCCTCAAATACACACTGGAACTTCTTCTTCAGTTGAGATTTAAGATTATGTTGACAAACTGGAGCAAACATGTCTGAAAAGACACAGTAAATAAGTTACATAAATCAGTATTAATTTATTTGAAATGTTAGATAAAACGTCTTATAACTTTTTATCTTTTAGGAGGCAGAGCCTTGGGCTTTCAGACCCCTCTTCTGTGGAACAAACTCCCAGTTTGGATTTGGGAGACAGACACTATTGAATTCTCTACTTTTAAGATTAGGTTTATAAAGCATATAGTTAGGGCTGGATCAGGTGACCCTGAATCCTCTCTTAGTTATGCTGCGATAAACCCACTGGCGTTTTTTCTTCACTCACCTTTCACTATGTTGTCATACCTCCCTTTGCATTTAATCATTAGTTTTTATTAATGCCCGGCCCCGTTGCACAGCTTGTCTTTTGTGCCGTCTTTTTCCCCTCACCCCTAAGCAGTCGTGGAAAATGGCTTTCTCTCTCTGAGCCTAGTTCTACCAAAGGTTTCTTCCTGTTAGAACTGATCTTTTTCCTTCCCTTGTTACCAAGTGCTTGCTCATTGGGCGG